AAGAGAGAGAGAGAGAGAGGGAGAGAGAGAGTATGTGTGACATAGAAAGAGAGAGAGAGAGAGAGAGAGGAAGTGTGTGTGTGTGTGTGTGTGTGTGTGTGTGGGAGAGAGAGAGAGAGAGGGGGGGGGAGAGCGTATGCTTTCGTTTTAGTATCTCTGTGATTGCTAAATAATTATTTTAATATGCTTGCCAAGTACGTACTTCTAAGTTGTCACTGTAACGTACTGTCGTCAGTTTACGTACGTGTGGTCTATTCATTTGGCGTGTGCGTCATTATGATGATTGGAAGGTCTGTTCGTCAAACAACTATCGTACATGTATCATCTTCTCACCTATCTGTCCATCATTTTTCTCCCGACATATTTTTTTTTCAATCGGTCTATCTGTCCCACTACACGTCTGTCTGTATAATATTTCCGTAACGGCGTCTATCGTCATCGACTATGTATCAGTTTGTCTACTTTACCATCGATCGATCAGACTAATTCTTATCAACCTTTCGACTTTGTTCATGTAACATACGCGTATATGTGTAGTCTTTATGTATTCACTGCACTGGTCATAGATGTGGGTGGTTGGCGGATGCTCTGGTGTAGTTTGCTTCTTCTTTCCTGTCAAACATCTATCGTCTTTATCTCCCCTCCTTTTTTGTATTAGTTACTCCATTGTTATAACACCTCTAATCTTCGGCTCTTATATGACTTTAAAGTGCCGTAAAACTCGTACTAAAACAAACGACTACACGTCTGTCTGTATATTTCAGTTGCAGCGTCTATCGACTATCAGTTTGTCTGTTTTACTATTGATCGACCAATCGATCGATGAGACTAATTCCAATCAACCTTTCGACTTTGTTCAGGAAATATACGCGCATTTACGTAGTCTTTATTTATTTACTGCACTAGTCATAGATGAATATTAGTAAGGGCGGGTGGTTGGTGGGTGCTCTGGTGTGGCTTGCTTCTTCTTTCCTATCAAACATCTATCGTCTCTATCTCCCCTCCTTCTTTTTTGTGTTAGTTACTCTCTTGTAACGCCTCTAATCTTCGGCACTTATATGACCGTATTGTGTTGCAAGTGCCGTAAAACTCTTACTTACTAAAACTAAAACTAAAAATACTAGTAAGGAGGTAACTCTATGGCACTGGATCTAGTACTGCCGTAATGTTTCATTGAGACGATCTTCTCTGTTTTGAGTTTTTAGAGCTGTTCTCCCTCGCGCTCTTTGTCCGTAAATTTCAAATCTCCACCCCTCCCCCTCCC